AAAAATAATTGCACAAATATATATGCACAAAGATGCATACTCCATGCTGAATTTTCTTTTATCTACCATAATTTTTAATCTCGTTTATCTATCTCCTTGTCCTTCAGTCTAAGTTACATGAAATCAGGGACGCATGCCACATATTAGGAGCTCACAAAATATTTGTTGGAATGAATAAGTGACGTTAATTGCAAGTACTTTGCAAGCAAAGTGGCCACCACTAAGCATAGCAAAGTAAGCTAGACCATATGTAGCGGAAGACTGTGTTCTTAATGTTAACTGACTTTAAGAAAAATTCCATGAGACATTGTTGAGTAAAAGAAACAAATTGCAAAAGTAGTACTATGACATATTCTAATTCATAACAGGTAAAAATGTGCAAAAATATATGTTCACATATAGAGAAATAGGCATAAAGAAGCAGATGATTACACGTTCACCAAATTGTTAATAAACGTGGTTAACCTCTAGAGAGTAAGGCTTTCAATTTGTTTTGTCCACTTCTATGAATTATCTTCACAGAAGCACATACTTTTATGAATAACAAAATTAATAAAGTTCAAATCTTTAGAGAAAACTTAGAATTCATAAATCTACTTCTTTAGAGTCAGAAGTTCAGCACATTTTACTTATTTTTAAATGAGCTGTTACCCAAGCACCAGTGGGTACCCAGGGGCCAAATGATGGGGCTAGGAGGAGCCCATAATCCCTTTGGAATTATTTCCAAAGTATTTTTCAGAGAGATGGTCCATAGCGTCATTACATTCTCCAAAGTACCTAAAGTGCAATATCATTGCCACCCCCCCAATCACCACCCTTTATCTCCCCTGGCAATTTACTTTTAAAGAAACCATGGCAGTAGACTCCTTGACTTTAATTTACTAACTTTAACCTACTTACAATGACGCTTAGAGCCCAGTTGGATGTGTTAAGTACCCAATGCTTAAATAAAGCACTTTTATCTCAGAATTACCAGACATTTAAGTGGTTGCAAAAAAAAAAAAAAGACCAACATTAAGGTTGGTTTTCATAGAAACTCAACACTCACCATTTTCTTCATGGCAATAATCAAATCCTGCCACGCTACATCTTCGAAAAACCATCTTATTCTCGGTGAGGGTTCCTGTCTTGTCAGAAAAGAGGTACTGAATCTGTCCAAGATCCTCCGCGATGTTCAGGGACCGGCACTGAACAGTAGAGTCCATTTTCTCATTGTAGAAATCCACATCACTTTGAATGAAATATATTTGCCCAAGCTTCACAATTTCAATGGAAACATAGAGAGAAATGGGAATCAGGACCTAAGAGGATCCAAATAATTTAAAAAATGTTAAAGTAAAGAAAGGATGAGAAAAATGAATGTAGCTGGATAAGCAGCAAAGATCTTAAAACTCTATGATAAGCGTATTAGAAATTACCTGTAATAAAATGATCATGGTCCAAAACATGTAGAATCCTGCCAACACTGGCGATACAATATGTCCATCAGGCTCGGGGATATTAAAAAAGAGTATGTTTTCATATCTGCTCAACCAGATTCCATGACCTTCCAAAAAATACACAGACATCAAAAAGAAGCTACATGTATATAACGCAAACAAAAAACTTTATTCCTAATGAAGAAAGGATGAGGGTATTCATTTCAGTTGAACATGAATTGTTTGGTTTTGGAACCAAACTCAAATCAAAAGGCTATACATTCTCTTGTCCCTGTTTCTCTATCTTTAAATTTCTTCCCACGTCCCTTCAGCACTGTGGCAACGTGCCAGTGGGTAGAGTCAATATTAAGGTTTTTCAAGCGAAAAGATGAGAGAGATATGGATGTGAAGAAAAAGATGACTGACAAATAAAAGCTCCCTTACAGAAGTTCAAACATTCATGAATATCATTTTAAAATAAATTAATGTCCTGTTGAAAAGATGTCAGCAAATAATCAGATTTTACCTACCCAAGGCACCCGTTAAACACATTATGACCAGAAGCAGAACACACCAGAGGACGTCTGTATTTGCTCTTCTTTCTAATTTGCTGCGCTTATACCGTGGCCCACTGTTGTTCAGCATTGCTTTGGTTTCATGACCTACACAGGAAATGTAATATGACAGAAAATAGACAAATTAAAACCAGGAAGCGAATATCATACTTAAAAAATCTCTCTGGCAGACAATTTAATAAAATGTAGTTACATAACATATTTTGTCACTTTAGTCTGCTTCTGTGATCCATTTAGAAAAACAGAGACCAATGAT